GGCCTACCAAGTGCCTTTGGCGACCGCTAACAGCAACTGTGGAACAGTGCAGTGCCCTTTTTTGGAGCAACGTACGAGTAGTGCCCGTGGATTATGACCCCGCGACCCCAATCTACGTGGCGGTCCGCAATTCGCTACTTCATACTGACTGGCGTCCGGCATCGTCCCGAATTTGGCCACAATCTGCTCTTGGGACCCCTATAGGGCTCTCTGACCTGCTCCATCTCCGCCATCGTCAATGTACTGCGCATCCACCCAGGCCAGGACTGCACTTACTTACGGGAAGGAGTATTTGCGAGATGGAACCTGGGAACTGGAAGACGACGAAGAGGAAGCGTGGGAATCCGGCGGCAATGGCTGGGATGTAAGTCCAACATTGCTGGTGCCAGAGTTGCCACTGCTTGCTTATAAGGGAATCATGTGTGTTGCCTTTTTGCCTTTTCCGACGTCCTCCTCCGACTGTACTCCCGATCCCAGGACTGAACTTACGGTAAGGAGTGCTTCCAAGATGGGAGACGAAGAAGAAGAAGCCGCTGAATCCGGCGGCAATGGCTGGGATGTAAGTCCAACATTGCTGGTGCTAGAGTTGCCACTGCTTGTTTATAAGGGATTCATGTGTGTTGCCCTTTTTTGCCTTCTCCCATGTTCTCCTCCGACTGTACTGGTGAACGCTGTCACATATGTTGCCCTTTCCAGGCAGTAGAAGGGGGGGGGGGGGGCGGCGGGGGGGGCAGCACATCCTGGCATCCAGGAATGCTAGGCCCTAGGAACTAGGCAATCTGACCTTTCCTCTTACTCCAATAATGGTATGGATGGGGAGTTCTTGAACATCCTCAGTCTTGTTAGAGTGAACTGTGCAACTCGGCAATCGGTGATAGCAGAGGACCAATGCCGATGGCGATGCTCCTTCCTTTTTCTCGGGGGGGGGGGCGGCGGCGGGGGCAGCACATCCTGGCATCCAGGAATGCTAGGCCCTAGGAACTAGGCAATCTGACCTTTCCTCTTACTCCAATAATGGTATGGATGGGGAGTTCTTGAACATCCTCAGTCTTGTTAGAGTGAACTGTGCAACTCGGCAATCGGTGATAGCAGAGGACCAATGCCGATGGCGATGCTCCTTCCTTTTTCTCTGTCACAGGCTGCGTTCTCGAGAGGAAGCGTTATTTCTGCATTCCAAGAAGGACGGCACAATGGTGAGTGGAACTTCGTGGGTGTGCAGCCTTGCTAGTTGAATTGTAAATCAACCATTCTTCCTGTCTCTCACTTCTTCAATGTCCTCCTCAGTGTCGGACTGTCCGCGTCGCATTGAACTGGTCCGATGAGGCTGCTATTGCACACACAGTGAGGGAACTCCCATACGGGAACTCGGAAGTACTGCTACAGTACAGGTAAGGTGGCCATTGCTTATGTGCGTGCGCCGTTGTTGTCAACTTCTAAGCCAGCTGTACTCCAACCTACATGGAGTTTGAAAGTAGTCAGCTGGCGAACTACAATTGAAGTTTAGACGTTATGTGCCGCGGCTTGGTCAGCTTTTTCAGTTTCACAATGCATTGCACTCAGCACCGCTTCTCGGAATATCTTGTCAGGATAGCTGTGGAACGCATCCTCCCCAGTGGGGGAACGGCAAATGTGCTGTTCATTTTTTAGGCTTGCTTTTATGGTACGTACAAATCCCCATTGAAAAGACATAGTGGAGACCAGAAACTGCAAATAGATGTTGGGAACCGCGAAGACCACCCTTCCTTGTCAAGTTCCATGAGGGTGTGGAGGGGGGGGGGGGGGGGGGGGGAGCGGAGGAGGGACATTCCTGCACTGCTTAAAGCAGGATTCACAGGAGCATTTTCAGAAATTGCTTGTACATTTGTACCAGTTGTAACCGACAAACGCATTCTCATTGAGCTTTGACTTGAGGCACGTCAGCAAGGCGCTGTTGCATCGCTGACGTCTTGTCCTGATTCTGTGAATGGTATTTTGTGCGAGTTCGCATCGCACGCAGAATCGCAGGTCGTGTCGCATTGCGCAGTACACTGCCAAATTGCTTCTGTGAATCCCACGTGAATGGGAATTCCAATGGGAATGTAATCCATTGCCAACAGGTGTATTCCCGAGCTGCGCATCATACTGCAAAATTGCTCCTGTGCATGCAAATGGATTTCATTGCTCTTCTGTAGTTTGGGAAATTCTCGATTATGATAATTCTGCGTGTGTGTGTACACCAGCCCTGAACATACATGTAGGTGACCCATTTGTGGTGTCTCATAGCCTACCTCACGACCTTATGCTTTCTTCCTGTATCACTTGTATCTTGCAGGTATATCACCCCGTGACGACCACATCGAAGTCTGAAATTGAAGTGTGAAGATGCTTCAGCAACCCCTTCATATTTTTCCATTGCTTTTATTGTGCTTCTACTGTGCATGTGTGTAACCTGTGGGGTATGCATGTGATGACAATGTATGCCGGTGACACGGTCAGATTTTGTCCATGCGTGTAACGTACACCTGCATGCTATCGTTGAAAAGGATCTGCCACTTACGATCTTCGGACGAGTATCAGGTCAGCTTGGTTTTGTGTGGGCTGTACCAGATGCTGTTCACTTCTCTATCTGTTGGATATGTGACTTTCTGCAAGTTTCTGGTGTGTGGTGGCCACTTCTTTGCTTGTCTTTGTATGACATTACAATAATTCTGTATTCACTGCTTCCATGGTGTGGTCTGCAAACTGCAATCCTTAGGCAAATATCATCACGGTTTGCAATGTTGTGCTTTGGCCGCTAGCTTACCTACACATTGTAGTTGAATTATTTTTGTTTCACAACTGACTTCCTGAAGTATGGTGGCCACTGCTTTGCATGGCATTATACAATCAAGAATTTCCTGTTTGGGTCGTGTGTGTGTATGTATGTGTGTGCGCGCCCATGTGTGTGTGTGTGCCATGTGCATGTGCGTGTTTGTCACAAGGTGTCTGTGTGCGGGGTAGCGAGGTGGGGAGGACTGGAATGTATCAGTGTGCTACTGCAGTCGCATGGCTACATACAGTGCATCGCGCGCGTGCTCACCATGTTTATCTTCGGAGCTGGGCTAGGGTGGGGGAGGGAACAGAAAAAGAACTGAAATTACCCATATAAAAACCGCTCTGTGAGCGGTTCTGAAAAACCTCTACTGGTGCAGCCCCGTCGTAAAAGTAAGAAATTAGAACTGGCGCATTGTCCTCCCAAATGTGAACTGATCCACCTAAATCGCGATTGACGGGACCCGAACGCACCAGTAGCACGAGGTCGGGAGGGAACAGGATCACAGCCGGCGTCGGCGCTGATCAAGTTACCATACAACACTCATCTACCCCGAAGCCCACCTTTGCCGCTTTGGCTTTGGCTATGGACCAGCGTCCCCAGCTCAGCTGCATCCACAGGTAGGAACCTCGTGCTACTGGTGCGTTCGGGTCCCGTCAATCGCGATTTAGGTGGATCAGTTCACATTTGGGAGGACAATGCGCCAGTTCTAATTTCTTACTTTTACGACGGGGCTGCACCAGTAGAGGTTTTTCAGAACCGCTCACAGAGCGGTTTTTATATGGGTAATCACACGTACGAGTCTTAAAAGGTACTACGCGTACATGTACAGTCAACTTCGCTAATAACGACTGCGGATATAACAACAATTCGCGAATAACGACAGAATTTCCATGCCCAGAGCAAAGTCCCATCCCACTGTAATACATAATGAGACTTAGATCTAGCAACTGCACACACTCGCGTACCCGCGGTCGCACAAGCGAGCAATGCCCTCCATGCCACGACCATTAATGGCATAAGTGAGCTTTGACCATCCAAACGTGGACATGCGGTCACTTTTGGGTACCCTTTTGAGTTCAGTCACATCAGACAAAATCATCGTGTGTTTTAATTACCTCATCGTCTTCTCTTCCCAACAGTAACACTTACGATGCCTGATTGCAACGCTGACACAGATACCTCTGCCTCTGGTCGCGGTCGAGTTGCTCTCAGTACAGTCAGCTTCGCTAATAACGACTGCGGATATAACGACAATTCGCGAATAGCGACAGACTATCCATGCCCAGAGCAAAGTCCCATCCCACTGTAATACATATAATGAGACTTCGGGTATAACGACACTTCGCGAATAAGGACACCTTTTTGGTGCCCCACCGAGTGTCGTTATAGGCGAAGTTGACTGTACATCAGCACATCCACTACAGTACTGTCGGTCGCCGAAGAACTGGGGGGTCAGCCTCCTAGCCTACAATTATGTAGACCGTTCTTATTTACATGCATTACAGCCTAGGCTATGGGCAGTTGAGTCACCGTGTATACATTGGTATGCTGTGCTAGACGAAATTCTAGCCTGGTCGTTCTTCGGCTCTCCGTTCTTCGGCTCTCCGTTCTTCGGCTCTCCGTTCTTCGGCTCTCCGTTCTTCGGCTCTCCGTTCTTCGGCTCTCCGTTCTTCGGCTCTCCGTTCTTCGGCTCTCCGTTCTTCGGCTCTCCGTTCTTCGGCTCTCCGTTCTTCGGCTCTCCGTTCTTCGGCTCTCCGTTCTTCGGCTCTCCGTTCTTCGGCTCTCCGTTCTTCGGCTCTCCGTTCTTCGGCTCTCCGTTCTTCGGCTCTCCGTTCTTCGGCTCTCCGTTCTTCGGCTCTCCGTTCTTCGGCTCTCCGTTCTTCGGCTCTCCGTTCTTCGGCTCTCCGTTCTTCGGCTCTCCGTTCTTCGGCTCTCCGTTCTTCGGCTCTCCGTTCTTCGGCTCTCCGTTCTTCGGCTCTCCGTTCTTCGGCTCTCCGTTCTTCGGCTCTCCGTTCTTCGGCTCTCCGTTCTTCGGCTCTCCGTTCTTCGGCTCTCCGTTCTTCGGCTCTCCGTTCTTCGGCTCTCCGTTCTTCGGCTCTCCGTTCTTCGGCTCTCCGTTCTTCGGCTCTCCGTTCTTCGGCTCTCCGTTCTTCGGCGCCCGACAGTACTGTACATCACCTTTGTCTTGCTTTATGTTTTCATCCACATGTTTTCCAGTTGGGCTGTGTTCACTGTGGCTGTGTTCACTGGGGCTGTGTTCACTGTGGCTGTGTTCACTGTGGCTGTGTTCACTGTGGCTGTGTTCACTGTGGCTGTGTTCACTGTGGCTGTGTTCACTGTGGCTGTGTTCACTGTGGCTGTGTTCACTGTGGCTGTGTTCACTGTGGCTGTGTTCACTGTGGCTGTGTTCACTGTGGCTGTGTTCACTGTGGCTGTGTTCACTGTGGCTGTGTTCACTGGGGCTGTGTTCACTGTGGCTGTGTTCACTGTGGCTGTGTTCACTGGGGCTGTGTTCACTGGGGCTGTGTTCACTGTGGCTGTGTTCACTGTGGCTGTGTTCACTGTGGCTGTGTTCACTGTGGCTGTGTTCACTGTGGCTGTGTTCACTGTGGCTGTGTTCACTGTGGCTGTGTTCACTGTGGCTGTGTTCACTGGGGCTGTGTTCACTGTGGCTGTGTTCACTGTGGCTGTGTTCACTGGGGCTGTGTTCACTGTGGCTGTGTTCACTGTGGCTGTGTTCACTGGGGCTGTGTTCACTGGGGCTGTGTTCACTGGGGCTGTGTTCACTGGGGCTGTGTTCACTGTGGCTGTGTTCACTGTGGCTGTGTTCACTGGGGCTGTGTTCACTGTGGCTGTGTTCACTGTGGCTGTGTTCACTGTGGCTGTGTTCACTGGGGCTGTGTTCACTGTGGCTGTGTTCACTGTGGCTGTGTTCACTGGGGCTGTGTTCACTGTGGCTGTGTTCACTGGGGCTGTGTTCACTGGGGCTGTGTTCACTGTGGCTGTGTTCACTGTGGCTGTGTTCACTGTGGCTGTGTTCACTGGGGCTGTGTTCACTGGGGCTGTGTTCACTGTGGCTGTGTTCACTGGGGCTGTGTTCACTGTGGCTGTGTTCACTGTGGCTGTGTTCACTGTGGCTGTGTTCACTGTGGCTGTGTTCACTGGGGCTGTGTTCACTGGGGCTGTGTTCACTGTGGCTGTGTTCACTGTGGCTGTGTTCACTGTGGCTGTGTTCACTGTGGCTGTGTTCACTGGGGCTGTGTTCACTGGGGCTGTGTTCATACTAAAAAACTACAATGTATACTCTACATTGTAGGCGGTTTGATGATTTCCCAATTCGTGTATTTATTATTCACTTCTAGCAAGAGTACATAATGTACTCTTGCTTGTAGTACATGTTGTATGTAGTTGAGGGAATGGAAAAGGGAAAAGTCTGAAGAAAAAAATGACTGCCACCGCCAGGACTCGAACCAGGGATGTTCGCTTGAGGCCAGTGATGCTCTAACCACTGAGCTAAGCTATAAGGTGTTAGTCGTTTTTAGTCACCTGATGTCTAGTGTGGTGAGAGGTAGGCCCAGACAGATCCTGCTGGCAATTCTTTCGGCAAAATATCGAAGAATTGAAAGAGCGGAAATTGCCGGCAAAATCGGAGCAAAATATCGAGATGTTGGGTAATATCGATGCCTGGTACTTGGATTTCCTTGTTTCTTACCCGTTTAGCAGGATCACACTGCCCAAGACGAGATCATGTCACCGAAATATCACTGGGATTCACTGCGGATCGACATGATTTTGGAAGAACTAGGGACATGTGCGTGGAAACCCGTGTTGAGAAACCGACCCTGCAATTTTTATGAAACATTGTACAGGGATTGTACGGGAAGTGGATAAAAACACGTTTTCGGGAGCAAAATGGAGCAAAATATCGAGTTTCTTGTGCCAGGCTTGGCAAAATATCGAAGATTTTGCAGCAACATATCGAGGCTAGCGGAGCAGAATCTGTCTGGGCCTACCCCCTGGAATAGGCCCAGACAGATCCTGCCGACAATTCTTTCGGCAAAATATCGAAGAATTGAAAGAGCGGAAATTGCCGGCAAAATCGGAGCAAAATATCGAGATGTTGGGTAAAATCGATGCCTGATACTTGGATTTCCTTGGTTCAGCAGGATACACTGCCCAGGACGAGATCATGTCACCGAAATTATCACTGGGATTCACTGTGGATCCACATGATTTTGGAAGAACTCAGGCCAGGGACACGTGTGTGGAAATCCGTGTTCAGAAACCGACCCTGCGATTTTATGAAACGCTGTACGGGATTGTACGGGAATTGGATAAAGTACACGTTTTTCCGTAGCAAAATGGAGCAAAATATGGAGATTCTTGTGCCAGGCTCGGCAAAATATCGAGGCGAGCGGAGCAGAATCTGTCTGGGCCTAGTGAGAGGCCAGCAGCATGCCGCCAGGCAGCCTCCTTTGCAATGTTCAACAGTAGATCTACTCGTCGCAGCCTCTTTTGCAACACATAAATCATAATGGCATAGTATGCAGCCACCGTTTTCTTTTTTCTTTACTCTATTTCACGCACTCACGGCTTTCTTCATTCAGCTCTATTCACGCACTTACCTAGGGTACCCTGTAAAAAGACTCACAGTCTGTGGGGATTGCCCTAGTAAAATAACTACTACTTCTACTACTACTAGTGATGATTGCCTATCCGGCATGAAACTCTCAACCTCTATTGCAATGACCTAGCTACTAGTACTACTATGGTCCGTTTCAAAAGTCCAGACTCCAGACCTCTGGTTTCAAAAAACCGTTAGGCCAGCACCTATACCACATAAAATCTGTGATCACTTCATGCATAAAATTCCGAAATCGGGCGTATGTTATCCAATCGCTTAGAAATAATGAGAAAAATTGGGCTGAGCAATATTCCGAAGATATTTCTCGCAAAGCTCAAACCAGATTTGAATTATTCGAAAAAGTCTAGAGGTCTAACTTTTGTCCTCGAGTAGCAAAACTCAAAAAGGATTCGTACGTATGGCTTTAAACACAGTTGCTAAGAACAATAAGAAAATTCGAGAGGAACAAAAAGAGGATGGTTGATGTGACGGCGGAAAACAGAAATACAAAATGCCGCAAGCTCAGAAAGTTCGTAGTACAAAAACATGGATGCGAGCCCAGGGGGGGGGGGGGGGGGGGGGAGGGCTATAAGCCAATATAATGCTACATGTACATGTAAGTCAGATGAGCCCCTCGGAGTACTATTTCAACAGAAGACCATAACGTCAGAAATTACGTAATGAAGTGAGAATCAGCTAGCACGGCAGAACTCTCCACAAAACATTGGACTGGAGAACCAGGGATAGCAAGAGATAACTGCGCTCCCTTTGTAGTGGAAGGAGCCTTGCATTTTTACCTGCTACCTATTCCGCATCATAAAATAATCTAATTTTCCTAGAGAGGATTGCTAATGTCAAACACAGCTTAATGATACGAGAGAAGCATAAGCTAGGGAGGTGTGGATAGGATGATGCTGAGCATATTCGCTGGCATCGCAAATCAGAGTCGAATGGCCGGCGAAAGAAATCGAACAGATTCTTTTTGACCCAGTGCGGCGATGAAGCAAACTGGAAACTGATCTTCGTCAATGCTGATCGTCTCCGATATGCCCGTACGTGTGTGCACAGCGGTTGCCTTCCGATCCTTCGTGTCCAACGTCAGGCGAATGACATCATCCTTGGCCCAAGGCTGGCCCAACGTACCTCCCACGGTGTGTGATCTGGGGTGGCTTTGGCTCCCTGCCCAGCCATAAAACCGAACACCTTCAAAGAGCCAGCCAATGAAATCTTTATGCGGTGCAGCTATACTGGTAAATCCAATGAGGACATCCCGGCCAGACCGCACACGCACCCCGAATGGTATCGGGGGACACAAGGCAAAGGCAGTGGACCACCCCCTTGGAGAATTGGGTTGGGTGCATGTTGCCATTGACTTGTCGTCGTTAAGGGAAATATGCTTCGACGGTTGATTCACATTGAACGATAGTTGAGCCTTGAAATTCGGGTGGGGTCTCAAATTGGCGCCAATGGGATCCTGCAACATCCAGACCAAGGTCTTTGCACAGCTTGAAATGACCGGTGTGAAGTTCACCTTCAACACACAGTTTTCTGGATCTTCATCCTTCGCCTTCTGATTGTCTCCGTCACACTCCTCATTTCCGCTGGTACCACCATCTGTTTTCGACGTTCCCGTGCTCATTTGCCGATGAGAAAGTGCTTGCAGAACTGCCCCATCACTCAGTGTCCAGCCGAGACACCCTCCAGTTTCTGGATCTTCATCCTTCGCCTTCTGATTGTCTCCGTCACAGTCCTCATTCCCGCTGGTACCACCGTCTGTTTTCGACATCCCCGTGCTCATTTGCCGATGAGAAAGTGCTTGCAGAACTTCCCCATCACTCAGGGTCCTGCTGAGATACCCTCCAGTTTTCCGTGTGCGTAGTTCTTCTTGTCTGGCTTCCTTCAGCTTCTCCAGTGTTTTGATGACGCGCCACCTTTCTTCATCTAGGTCAACAAGTTGCTTTTCACTGTAATCCTCAAAGATCTTCAGAGCGGCAGAGTAATCACCTTTGATCTTTTCTGATATTTCTTCGGTTTCTCTGTTGATGGTGTCGATACGGGTTTCCACAGCAGCCAGCCTGTTTTCCAAATCAGGAATTTCGTTCTGCAACACAGCCTCTGCGGCACGTAAACCTTTGACAGCGTCCTTTACATCCACAAGGTCGTGCTTACACCGATCTGCGGGTTGTTTGCTGGTATTGCACCGAGTGCAGATCAACACATTACAAGACGTACAGTACGATCGCAGGTCTTCATTGTGCAGCGGGCAGATTTCCATGTTATCACGCTGTCTCATCCTTCTCTTGGCCGGGGGAACAGCAGCCATGCTATGATTGGCACGTTTTCTGCTCCTGGTATGAAGAGCGGAGTGCTGGCGACATAGCGAAAGATCGCAAGTCGTGCAACGCATTTTCGCTGGCTCATTCATATCTTCGCAGTCCGAGTCCTGGCAATAGAGCGCAGGCTCGAATTTGTCAGTGGCGTGGACACGGTAACCGGGTGAAGACTCATCTTGCTCATCCGCATCGCTATCAGCACAGGCAGCCGATTGCTGGGTCGGCCAGCTAACGAGGCATTCGGTGAGTTTCCGACCTGGACCAGGGTCTGGTGTAACTATTTGACATCGAGCACAGCAAATAGTGTTGTCGTAGCGCAGAAACTGCTCTGCACAGGATTTGCACGATACGTGAAGACACTTGAGTATTTTCAACTGACTAGCTGCACCGGATTCGCCATCGGACTGGCAGAACACACAGTTCTCTCGACATTCTAGTGAGGTGTTGGCTTTTACGTCTTCACTCGCCATCTTGCTAACGAAAATAGGTCATAACTCCCTTCAGACTCTCAACGTCTCTTTCTGAACCACGGTTAGTGTTTTGTAGTTCAGTTTGGAACCGCCAAGGCGCGCTAGTGCGCTTGGAAGTTTCGGTTCCATTGAAGACGGAGCGAGGGGAAGTCCCTGATACCGCCGTTACAGCACAGCACAGTGCTCTTCACCTCTTGCGGGACTCGAGCACTCTGGCCCTGTACTACCGGTAGTGCCCATGGTGACAGTATTGTAGTGTTGCAAGCCAGGCAGATGGCGCTCGCTCTCCTGGCCTTTGTGAACGAAACAGTTTGGTTTCCATGGCCTGACTCATAACTATGTTGTCGGTTCGAAACCTGCCATCAGCATACATGTAATTGCCTGGAGTTTCGCTTTTGCAGAGCTTTGAAAATTAAAATTGCCTGCATCCTGTCAATGTAGACATCTCTTTCAGATGGAAGCCTTTGTCTGTCCAAGTTCATCGCTTCATGAACGTGATACGCTGCCGTTGTCTCACTATGCTGCGATGAGCCCGTTTCTGTAGGACATGTGATTTTTAATTTAGATGTCCTAAAATTTCGGCCTCAGGCCCAGGGACCTAACAAGTTTCAGGTGTAATGTAGAATTAGGGGACCATATACATGTACATGTAGTTTTAGGTGATATAATTTTTTTAAAGTTTAGAAACCAGTCACTTACATGTAGTAAAAGTGCAGTTAAAACTGTCTGGTGTGACTGTGGTGTCTCTACCGAATAGGGCAAAAATTACAATGAAAAAGGTATTATACAGATACACATACGTTTTGTACGTTTTTGCACTGGTGTCTGTACTCTACAGGTACTGCTAGGATCTGCATTTTGTTGGTGAGCCTGGTGCCGTTGTTGATCA